AATGGTGTTTTATTAGGAAGTTAAAAAAAAAATCTTTGCTGTAAATTTTTCTTGTTTTGATTTTTTTTTAAGCCAAAAAAATGGAAAATTCCAGTCTCTACCCCCTCCCCAGTCTCTTCCTCCCTTTTCAATTTTGTCCCTGGAAAAAGGGTAGGGTGGCGGGGGAGGAGTAGGAACAATTTTTGTGGAGAATTTTGATAAAACAAACTTTTAAAAAAATTTCTGCAAAAAATAATTACAATTTTCCAAGCAGCTCTACTATTCAGGAAATTATTTCCCAGGCTTTCAGGAAATTATAGAGCTAATCAACATTTTTCAAATTTCACAATTTTGGAGTTTTGAATTTTTGGAGGAAAAATGGGGATTTATTTCGATCGTGTTCCTCTCCCATCATTTTTGGCCAGATCTAGTGTACACAGTTTATACTGTGACTTTAAACCCTCCTGGTCGTATCCTTGTGGCAATCTGCTTGCTCTCTCAAACACTGACATCTGCGAACTCTTAACCTACATCGCTGCATATATTGGACAGAAAATTATCCAGACTTTTATAATAAGGCAGCCTTGTTATTTGACCGAATGATACTCCTGCGGCAGGGAACTCTGCTAGCTGCAAATGTTGATTTTCTTGTTGCATCCAGCGTAAGTGCAGATTCCACAAAACAGTGCGGGAGGTGAACATATGTCCTTCTGGGATTCAATATGGTCCCCACTGCCATAATATCCAAGTGCTCCACGCACACTAATATATTTATCCCAACACCATCTGTAAATGGGAAGAAAATATCGCTGCCCTGGTTTTACAGATGGGGAAACTGAGGCACAGAACGACACTGACTTCCTGAAGGCCACAGAAGAAATCGGTGGCAAAGCCAAGAAATAAACCTCCACCTCCCAAGTCTCAGACCAGTGTCTGAACTCCAAGACCTTCCTTCATCTTGTGTTGTTAACTCAACTGCAATAACTGGGTGATGGGCGGGGAGAAGCCAAGATGCATAATGCAGATGATTAGTGCTGACTGTACTATCCTCTTTAAATACACTGTGCCAAGCAATGACTTTTCTCCCTCTTTCTTTTCTCTGTTTCCCCTTAAAGTTCTCTCTCTCTCTCTCTCTCACACACACACACACACACACACACACACACACACACACACACACACACACACACACACACTCTC